TTGAGGAGTCAAGACAACGGAGAGCGATGTCTACGCATTCGGATGTACATGCATACATGTACGCCTTTTCCCTGTCAAGGTCATGGTAGTAGAGAACTGAACGCATTTCCAGGTACTGTTCAGCCAGCCCCCTTATCCTACACTGAAAAATGACTTGCAGGTACTCACTGCTATTGGATCCGGGAAATCGCCCTGGAGTTGGGATACAGGAGTCCCATTGGAACGTCTTCTTTCACTGTGTTGCCACAAGCAGCAAGAGGTCCGACCTTCAATGGATGTCGTTCTCAAGGAAATTCACATTGTTCATCCTCCTGTCCATCCTCCATTTGCCTCTACGTCTACAACTGTAGATGGCCCTTCAGTGGGGTCCCCACAAAAGGTATCTTTGCGGTGGCTCCTGTCCTTCATAAATCTTACTCAATAATGCTGCAGGAATCTAAAGACCTATTCTTGGCTCAAATCGCACATTCCACTAGCGATCATAATAAACCGCGGCCCGCTATTACCTTTCTTCCAGTGCAGATTTTAGTCGGAATCTTTAAATACCTTGCATTGAGCGATCTCATGAGGTGCAAACAGGTAAGTTTTGGTTCGAGGTATTTGGATTGATTCTTCCATTTCAATCACGTTTCTATGCGTGAATATTGGATGGTTGTGGCGATAGTGCTAATGTAAACGGTTTTTATAGACGGCTAAGCATTTTCTACGGGTCATCGAGGAATCATTGACTCTTCAGTATAACATTGAACGCGAAACTTGTCTTCTTGCCGGTACTGCTCCAGTTGCTGCCTGTACGGTGACGTATTCGGGGAAGCTCGTGACTGTTACATACTGAATTTTGGCTGGATGAAATCCCAGACCTAGATAGGCCCTCTGTTGCAGAGACGCTTACCGATCTTCACAGGCGCGAGATCGGATGGGCAAGTCTGAAATGGCAGCCGCAAACGCATTCCATCCCTACTGCGCCGCCTGATTTTACAATGAAGTTATACGAATTGCAACACGGATTCTACGCGTCTGTGTGTTACAAGGAATCCGTGTTGGAAGATTCCGGTCATTTACGGCTCCAACCACTTCCAAGAGTCATGGGGGTCCCATCCAGTGCAAGAAGTCATGGGTCACCGCCTGCAGCTGGGCCGATTAGTCCTGTGGTTCAGGCCAACCTGGGAGGTCAATATGACGGTGATGTCGGAGTAGACTCGTCTCAAATGCCGATCTTCAATTACCTCGGCTTTAAAGCTCAAGAGTTTAGTATCGATCCTGAACAGAATTTGGCCGTCTATCTTTGTCAAAGTTCTGACCCCGATGAGACTTCCGGCAGGATGATTGTCAGAATAAGGCAAATGTCTGATAATGCTTTTCACCCATTTGCTCGATACGAGACCCTCGATACTCGCTCGATGCCGGATGAATTGGGTAGCTATTTGGTCCAGATATTTGGTGATTTTGTTGGCGTCATGTTCACTACGAAGGCTCGCTTTTGGATTTGGAATTGGAAGACAGGTATATGCCAATGCGTGAGTATATTCATTAGCTGCGCATGAGATGTGCAAGTATGCTAAGGTCAAATCCAGGAACTGTTGGATTCCGGGATGGATTCGTTTTTGTTTTTATCTCCACGGCATTTTGTTATTTCTCGACGCAAAGGGCCTCTTGCCTCGCTAGAGGTCTATGCATTTAAACCTTGCCATTACGATGGCCCACCTGTCAAATCTTGCCTTCCAACTCGGCATCTCGCGACGTTTCGATTACCCCGATTGTCGACAGGTTCGGTGTATTTCTCTCACATCGAGTTGGTCTGTGAGCCCAGCCCAGTGTTTGAAACACCAGAGTATGAAAAGTTGCCCTTGCCACCATTCTTTCTACCACGTTCAGTTGACGGTCCCTCTATAACACCAAACAATCCATCGGAACCAGGGCCTACCAACGGACCGTTCGTTCGCCCTCGGCAGGATGATTTCAGGATTGCTCTCTTATCATTCACCGTGTCCTCCCTTCGTTCCGAAAGAAATAATTACAAGATGTTTGTCGCCGTATCCGATATCTATTGCATGGCCAAATGTATTGAGAGCAACTCCGGACGGGCGGGGTGATGCCAGGTGGGCTAGGTCCCCATGCTGATCCCACAAACACCCTTCCTGTCCAGGTTCGGTGGGATGATTGGGGATGTCGTTCTGCACGGTTATTGGGTCCTCTGGGCGGAAACGTTTGGGTAGACCCAGCTGTTTTCATGAACCGATACATTTTTCGTACGCTCGAGTTTGAACGGACACTCGAAACGGCCCAATGGGGGATCTCCCATTCGGATCCCCAAGATCATGTTCGTTCCCGTCTTCATGTGCTGGATTTCAACCCTTATTCAGTTCGTGCCGGGTCTCTTTCCGGGAGGGATGAAACACTGTATCCACGGGAAAGCGGCTCAGGCGACGCGGAGCATCCAAGGATGTCCAAGGATTACAGGATCTCAGGTCGTATGGAGACAGACCTCGAACCCACGGTATTGCACAGCGGTGACTTTGCTTATAAGGTCATCAGTGGCCTTCCATACCGCCAGGTGACGAGCGATGAAACATTCCAAGGAGACTTGTTACCTATGATGGATGCTGAGAGGATATTGCTCGTTGACGTGAGTCTAACTATTGGATTTGTTCGAAGAACCTTTGGTCTTAGTATGCTTGACTATATTTTGGCATTTAGGATACTACTTGGGGCTCTATGGAAGTTCTTGTCATTTGACCAGGCGAGATTAATTGAATGGGTTACGGGCATTTGTTTAAAAGAACTCCTCTGCTTCCCTGTGGTGAATAAACCAAAGTGTAGGAGACATGCATGATTGTGAAGAGTAAATGGCATAAGTGGTGGAGTGCTTTTTTGTTGCATTAATTGCAGCAAATTGTGTGGTGTGTCCAGTGACCAGATGGCAACAAGAACATGCACTAGCACAACATGCCCCTGAGCGCTCTTCACGTGGACCTCTGGGAGTGCGGGGGGTTCGAGGAGCTGGCTACCGTACTCAGCCCTCCCCTGAGATGTCCCCCAAAGCTCAACAAGCTGAAGGTCATTCAGTTCGTAACAAAAGTAGAGTACATCCGGTGCTGCAGCTTTCAAGTCTTTGCATGGATCCAACTGCGTGACCATCATCGTTCCGCTGGGGTACTTGAGACCTTTACCAACATTTGTTACATCTGAACGCTCCCCCACTGTCTTGGGTGTACTGAAGCTGAACCGATCTCTGCGCGTAGCTAGTTCCGGGGAAGTTTTTCGGGATTTTTCGATTCCGAATGTTCCAGCCTCCGAAGATGTTGACGTTACTGTCCACAAACCTTATCAATATGAGTTAAGGGACCGAACCAATGGTGAGACAAGGGTCAGCTGGCCGAGAGGTTGAAGTAGCTGGTCAGGTGGTAAAAGAGTGCTCTTAATTAAGGTACTTGTTGAACAGGGCAGCAGTCCATGTGTAGTCTGTCGCTTGGACTCGCCGATGTCTCTGAACTCAGTGGCAGTTGGACTTCCCAACTGGCAACGCCTCTCTTAGATAGAGCCGCTGGAACGGTGAGACCGATCTGGCATATTTTCGCCATCCTTCATTCATCAAATGGAACAACGTGGCCTAGATCGTAAACTTCCGGGAGGCCAGATGGGGCTTCCCACCAAGGAGGGATCCGTCACTTTTGGTACGTGAAGTTGCTATGACAGAACGACAGAGTGCAAGTACATCACCAGCACCGCCCTCAGTGTGCTTAATTTACGGAAGAGATCCTATAGCTGAAGACAATGAAGACAGAGTTCGGACAAACTCAACTAAGCGACTCGCTCCGTCAATTCTGCTTCGATATTGGTAACTAGGTAAACGAGGGCCAGAGAAGATAAGCCGGAAGAGCCAGGGTGAATCAAGCGTCTTTGGTCGCCTGCTCGATCATCGTTCCATTCAGTGAACCTATTATATTCACATGAGCCACTTGAGAACTGAGCCTTCGTCATGATGGTGCAGATAACTCCGCGCTGAGACTCCTTCAGAAACTCTCAGGCATGGAGCTGAGCATGAGGTGTGAGCAACAAGTTCCGGACAGGAACGGCGGGCCCCATTTTCCATCAAGATTAATTTGACGTGCTGGGAACTTGGAAGCATGTTAGGCGCACCTAATGTCTCCTCCGTGTTCCATATGCCCACGCATCACACCACCGCCTTTGTGAATGAAATAACCAAACCTAAACCCGTACTCGGGAGACCTTTAAACCTAGCAGCGCTAGGCGCAAGTTCTGCTGCAGTGAACGAGCTGTCCCTTCGTTCTACTGGGCTACGTTTTTTACAACTATTGAATTTTAAGGCATCTTTTAAATATGAGATCAGACACTGAGTGATATGCACAAGAGCCGCGAGCGTGTTGCGTCGGGGGTTGAAATCGAGTAGACGACATTTTGAATCACGGACTTTGCCAGACGCGCAAAAAAACGACAATTAGAACGTCCGATCGCCATAGTTAATGGTCTCGCCCGCGGAGGCTGCTGACAGTCACTCGTATTAATGTCACTAGGACTTACGTAGTAGCTCGCATGGCTCCGGAACCTGCAATATTGTGCGTTCTAAATCGAATTCAGCCGCAACTAAGCTCCACGTGTGGGAGTGCATCCCTTTCAATCGTCGATGATTGGTTCGGATGATCCAATGGTGTTTACGTTAATCTGCCTCTACGGACACTAGTGTGAGGCCGCTCAGCAATCTCTTGCTGTCTCCTGAATACCTGCATCGACCACTGACATGAGTTGAGGCCCGCCGGCGTCGCCTTTCCACAGCCATTTTCGAGTCCGGCTTTAAGCAGTCAATGCTTTCTATTCTATGGTTCACAACATTACGCTCCCTTGGCTTTGTTCTGTACTTAGTCTGACGTCTTCCGCCACTCGCACCTTCCTTCTGATTATGCACCCGCTTTAGTGCTTATGTATTACGCGCCTTCCGCTATCGGAACGGTAACTACGCACAAGCCACAACAAAAGCAACATTACCATGACAGACGCCAAGAAGATGTTACCGATGATGTCAGTTCCACCTGATGGAATTCATTTGGAGAACCCAATGGCCTGAATGGGCTCGACTACATTCTAAATTTCTCAGTAGCGTGGAAAAGATATTGTGCACGCGAAAGCCTCGTCATTGGAGCGCCTGATTTTAGTATAAATTATTCACATTTACAATCTGGAATATCAGCCCATTTCACTATGGCCGCTCAATCGGGAAGCAATTTCCCATGGGTCCTCGCCTTCCGCGGTGGAGAAACACACCTCCACCTTGGATGGGAATCCTGTAGATCTCTTGTGGCTGGCCCCTAGCTGACGTAAAACCCGTTCTTGAGGCTTCGGTTCCTCTTTACTAGTACCTGTGGTTTTCCCTTCACTGCCGCTGCTATCGACAAGAAATCACATACCCTGGCGCCGATTCGATACCGTACACGGACTGCTTGGGTTCTGCTTTGAGGGCCGAACTTAGTGATATGACGTGCGGAATGACGTACATCATAAATTCCCTTGCTATCCAGGTCTTTTTTTTTCTTCCGCCCCACCCACCATTTCCCGCATTTGTCATCCAACCCAATCCACGGTCCTGAACTCCGTGATCCTAGGCCTCTCTACCCTACAATGGCGACCTCACTCTTCAATCCCTGCCATCTTTCTTCGTGGCTGTGCCACTTGTTGGACTCTATCTAATGTTACGAAAGTCATAGAGGCTGGAATCCTGCCTAGCCATCAGCCATGGAATCATTAAGCTTCTTTTATCGATCAACGATACACGATTAAAGCTTGTACGCCATATTATAAATGGCAACTGCTACTTCAGCGCGTCGCTTGTAAAGGCAATCTCCCATTATTCGTGGTCTCTTCATAATTTCCTCGTTTCCCCTTCCACCTCCTTGGATGGACAGCTTGTATGGCTCTGGGCCGTTGATCGTAATTTGCACCATCATAATCAACGTGATCTCTTGCCCAATTTACGCAACTTTTGCTGACCGATTAAGCGTCCTTCGTCCTTTGAGCGTCTAACCCATTTGAATAACGTTGCCATGTCTCGCAACCAGCTCCCAATTTGGAGCGTACGGAGGCGGGACGCGAAAGTGGAGGGTTTTTGTACAAACCACAGACCATCAAGTTCCCAAGCGATGGCCAAATTCTATGTCACTTTCTGGTATTCTATGAGGGAGTACAGATTGTTGGGAGTGAAGAACGCTCTGCCCAACTGAAAGTACGGATGGAGATGGGTAGCGGGTTTTGCCGCTTCAGGCGAGTGCTTGGACATTTGAATTGACGCCCAGAATAGGCAATTACGCAAGCCAAGACAATCCATCATCCATACATGTCAAGCCGTGACGATAAAGCATCCTTACATAAGCTGTCTCAGCAGAGTGACAATCCTACTCAGAAGCCAAAAAGAATGGGAACCGTTGACCCGGACGCTTCGATTGGGACCTGATAGGCATTTTAGAGTCATATTATCTTTTGCCTCGTAAAAATGTTGAATGGCTACGTTATCGATAAATACCCTGGCGTGCCGCCCCGGCCCTCCTCTCAACTTCTTTTCCCCCCCCCCCTCTTATTTCTCATTGCCGCCGTCGAGTACGCTCCCTACATTCGTTTAGCACACAGCACATATTACACTCTTAATCATGCGCTCCTTTGCTGTACTTCCTCTCCTCACTCTCGCTCTTGGTCTCCTCGCCCGGGCTGCACCTGCAGACAATGATTGCAAGCCTGGCTCGGCGTGCAGTTCCCCGTCCGACTCCGGGATCCTTGCGGCTGGCCTGTCGCTCTCGGATCGAGTGACTCCCCCAAAGCTCACCAATGCTCAGCGTTTCGCGCGTGGATTGCGCCTCTCCCCCCCAAGAGGCTCTGGGTTTGTATGTTGTGACGCTAACTGCTGAACAAACGTGATGGATAGCCACTGATTCCTTCTACCCGTTTTCGTTCCTTGCCTCTGTAGCCCCCACTCGTAGGGACCCGGTTCCTAGTTCAGTCAATTACCGCGCTGCCATCCAAGTCATTCGGCAGGATGACGGTGCTCTTCTTGGGTACATCTCGCGGACCTCACAGGGCCGGGAGCGGCATAAATATGTCGAAGATGTTACCGACGCCCTTATTGTCGGTTTTACATTGACCGCTGGCGCTACGAGTGCTACTGGGATAGACCTTATCACCGAGGTGTGCTCGCTTGTTTCATATTATTTGGGTAGGCCTCATGACGAGCGTTGGTTGATCAGAACTCGGATATCCCCAACTATGTCTATCTCGGTCTTGTTCAAGGTAGCGATGACACCGACTCGGTTCTTCAATCTGGCAGCTATCAGTGCGTCGCCGCCGTTTCATCCCTCCCTCATGAAATATAACCTTTTCTCTAGATATGTCTATCTCGCGAACACGAACCCAAGTAGGTCTAGACTGATTTCAACTCCTTTAGGATAATTCTGACCATTGTTCCTGTGTTCCAGCCCCTGCTAACTCCCCTCCTCAGACTGTTGGCAACTCGTACACCCAGGCCACTGGCGTTTCGCGCACCTCCGAATCTGCCGTTGTACGTAATTTGCATCTCATATCCCCTTGCATGGTAGCCTAATGGTCATTTTAGTGGTCCGTCAATGTTGTTGCTCTTTCCCTTGTTCCTATTTGGACAAATCCCGATGGAAGTAAGTGGATTTCGGATTTAACCCTCCCTCAAAACCACTAAAAACTTCCAGTTTCGGCGACGACTGAACTGTTCG